GAACTAAGTATGTTACTAGTTGATAAATCTGGTTTATAGACGAAAGGAGCTCATACTAAAACAGGATTAGGCATTAAGATGTGGATGGTGCACCCTCCACAGTCAACAGAAGCGTGATGGGGTTCCTTTATGACTAGTCGTCTGTACTGGAGCTTGGTCAGTACCAGGGGGTTCACGATATTCACAACAGTAAGTCCACGTTGTCTCATAGAAAACAACATCAGGCAACCTGCGCTATTGCTGTTCCAACGTGGCGCCCAGCTTTTCAACTTTCTGGGGTTTAGGTCTCGAGTCACGAAGACTTTTTCCAAGAGCATGTTCGATGGGATTGATGTCAGTTGATCTCGATGGCCACTCTATAACGCCAAATATCCCCGTTTCAGGAAGTTTTGCCATCTGTACGTGTCTGGCGTAGACGGTCATTACGGTTTCTTTGTGTCAGATTCGGCTCAACATAAGGACGTTTGGCAAGAAGGTTTCGTGTGGTCAGGGCAATAATGCGTCCACTAAACATTGGCTGTTCTGACCTGAAATGATCAGATGCCATACTCACTTACTAACTTACTCACTCACCCACTCACCCACACGTGTCCTCAGTTTATGAATTGTCCGTCTCCTGCATCTCATAGCATGTGCATCAACCACAGTAGACCGGTCAGCCTACAGCATGCCTATTGCACTTGCTCATCATCACAACATCCACGAAAAATCCGGAAACCACAGAATTAATATTGTCAACTATTTAGTGAACATGTCTTTACCAATCACTATCACATAATCAGGATACCAGGTGTTCACGAAAAGGTGAGCACTGCCTGTATGATTCTGACTATATCGTTTCGTCAGAAACATCTGCTTTGTGTTGATGAAAATGTCAAAATGATATAACGCAAACGTATTCTGCAACCTCTATAGAGAAAAGAAGTTAGTAGAGTAGGCCGGGTCTCGTTAACATCAACCATAGTCAACAATCACATTTTCTTTCAGTGTGACTGGGAGTCAGCGCCATGTGGACAAGACGATATTGTCTACCTGGATACTGATATGGGGAGATGTTTCACTTATAACGGTAAGTTATATTGTCATGGAGTGAGTGAGTTTAGTTTTACGCCACTTTTTAGCAATATTCCAGGTATATCACGTCGGGGGAAATGGGCTTCACACATTGTACCCATATGGTGAATCGAACCCGGGTCTTCAGTGTGACGACCGAACGCTTTAACCACTAGGCTACCCCACCGCCCCTATATTGTCATGGAGACATTCAAATCCTGAAACTCAGAAGCGAATGTCACTGCCATGCACTCAGATGATAGCATTATATCCAGTCCAGGTTTGAATCCACTGGAACAGAACGATTGGGTTATTCCTGGACACCATGTCGTACAGATGATCAACCATTGTAGAAATTGGAAGCTTCCTTGGCGACATTCTGTTGAACAGGACAGCAGAAATCCGTATCAGAAGAATAAATAAATAAACATTGGTTTGTGCAGCATCAGCAAGTTTCCAGCAATTTGTGTTGAGAACCAGCTGAGGAAATTTTAGCATGTGCATATGGAGGTCAATCGGAAAATATGATATCAGAGACTATGTTAATTATCAGGCGTTCACCACAAGGTAGAACACTGACTAGTTAGGTTAAAACCTGTATCTTGTCACAATGGTGAATGTCTTTGAAGAACGATATTTCTTGTGATCAGTAAAATGTTATGTCATAATTGAGACAACAATATATGCATGACATATTAATGAGTCATCCACAGTCTAAAAGTATTGTTTCGTGGCAGACTGGCATACACAAGGAATACACAAGGAATACACATTGGGCCATCTTCTTCCCTTAAAATGAAAACATTAGGTAAAATTTGAATGTCCCGTTCATGCAGGTAGCAAACGTACTGTGTTTTCCCATGGTCACCAGTATGATGATCAACCTTCAGTTGCTGGCGATAATCAGCCCGTTTTTTATATTGTATTGTCCTGATTAATATCAAATTTTAGAGATAGATGCTAGTTGTAATTCTTGTTTCTGTGATATTCTAGTTGACTGTCCTTTGTGGACAGGATTTACTGTCCTTTGTCGACAGGTTTTCAAAAAATTAATTGTATTTATCATGCATTGATAACTAGTTTTAGTCACGATATGGCTGAAATACTGCCGATATGACTATAAACGTACACTCACACATTTGAATGTCACTGGCGCAATAGTGAGTGAGTGAGTGAGTTAAAGTTTATAGTCACAGCGGCAGTATTTCAGCCATATCGTGACTTAAGACAGTTATAAATTCATGACAAATGCGCAAATTTTAAAACTCTGCCGACGAAGGACAGTAAAACCAACTAGTATATCACAGTAATAGGAAATAAAACTAGCGTATATCTCTAAAATAGGCTTTCAAATGAGGGCAATACAATATAAAATAAGGCTGAGGATCGCCAACAACTGAAGGTAGATCACCACTCTAGGGACCATGGGGACTTACAGTACTTTGGCTACCTGCATGGACCCTAGCTGGATTTATATCATCCCTTCAGCCACTGGCGATTGTACTGATATGTAGCCATAATAAAACAACAAATATTCTACGATTAAAAAGGTATGTAGAACTAAATTGACTTGGGAAGTTTTGGGACTTACGTACCCTCTCAGGAGGACAATAATTTTACAGTACTTTAACCACCTTCGAGGATACAGCCACTAACTATCTTAGCTGCTAATTTATTCTACAGATTATAAAATATCATTTATCTATTCACAAAACATATCAATCAAAATTTATCAATCAATTCTATTTCTTTTAAAAACTCAATGATTAAATGATAATTAATTTTACTAAAAAGATCCTTCACAGTTTTAACATTGAATATTTATCCCTTGTGATGGAAAAATCAATGCAGTCAAGCAGGACATGCTTGACCGTGATTCTCTCATCACAAGGGATGCAAAACGGAGGATCCTCACCTTTTAGCAAATATTCGTGGGTGTATCTTCAGTGTCAAATGCGACATCGTCGCATGATGACCTCTTCAAATCTGGATTGACAACCCAAGTAAGTATAATCGATAGTTGGCTTAATTTCATGTAACTTATTTATGCCTACTTGGGTGTCCCACTTCCTCTGCATTAGATCACGAATGTATAATCGAATGGTTGCTTTGTAATCGGAGTAAGGAAGAAGAAGTGGTGTGGCAGATTTGTTGAGTGCTGCCCTAGCAGCAAGATCAGCCATTGTGTTCCCAGAAATGCCAACATGGCTGGGCAACCAACAAAAGACGATGTCGCATTGGCCAGTAGCAAGTTCATTATACAATTCAATAATTTCTATTAAAAGTGGATGTTTACAGGAAAGAGTTTTAATAGCCTGAAGGCAAGAAAGAGAATCGGAAAAGATTATGTATTGCTTATATTTAGTGTGTCTCTGAATATATTTAAGGGCCGTTAATATGGCGTTGGCTTCTGCTGTAAAAATAGAGCTGTTATCTGGTATGGTAGAAGGGTATGATCAGACAGGGTAGAACCCACACGGACTTGAAATTGCCTGTCAGTTAAAAACTCGGATATAAACTGAGGCAAACGGCCTCGTAAGTCAAAATCATGTAAGTCTTTTAAAATGCCGTGCTTCCATGTCGTATCATAAGCTTTCTCTAAATCGAAAAATACTGACACTGCATGTTGCTTGTTAATAATGGCATTCTTAACGAATGACTCCAATCGAACTAAATGGTCAATGGTACTGCGATTTTTACGAAAACCACATTGAATATTTGTGATTAAATTATCTGATTCTAAGTACCAAGTTAATCTGTTATTGACCATGCGTTCCATGGTTTTGCAAACGCAGCTAGTCAAAGAAATGGGCCTATAGTTAGAGGGATCCGTATGATCACGTCCAGGTTTAGGTATGGGTACAACAATGGCATCACGCCAGGAGGATAGAAATTTGCGAGATGTCCAAATGTCATCAAAAATATTCAGTAGTGTCTCTAAACAGGATTCCGGTAAGTGTTTCAAAACCTGATAATGAATGTTATCACCTCCTGTTGCAGTATCGTGGGCTTGTTCAAGAGCAGTATGAAGCTCATGAATAGAAAAGATTTCATTATAATCTTCCCCATTATCCGAATGAAAATTAATTTTGTTCTTTTCCTGCTGTTTTTGGTATTTTTGAAATTTAGGAACATAGTTAGACGAGGAAGAATGTTTTTGAAGTGTTTCACCCAGTTTGTTTGCGATATCAGATGTATCTGTTAACAATTGATCTCCAGTTTTGAGATGATGTATGCTTGATTTGGTACCCTTACCTTTAATTCTCTGGATCATGTTCCATACCTTGGACATCGGCGTCCGTGAATATATTTTCGAAACATATTGTTGCCAAGACTGGCGCTTGTTTTGCTTAAACGTGCGCCGTGCTTTAGCATTTAAACTTTTATATTTATTTAAGTTATGCACCATTGGGTGGCGACGGAAATAGTGTTCGGCTTTTTTCGTGCCTTCCTGGCTTGTTTGCATTCATTGTTAAACCATGGTTTACGTATATGCGGATTTGCAGAGGATTTAGGAATACATGCATAGGCTATTTTGTTTAGTTCATCAGAGAATAATTGCACTGAATCAGGAACATCAAGAAAACGATCAGGATTTAAGCTATCCATACACAGTAATTCGAACAAAGGCCAGTTAGCCTTGTTGAAATTCCATCTTGATGATGGAGGAACGTCAGCTGGACTTATTGTTTGAAGAATGGTCGGGAAATGATCACTGCCACACAAGTCGCTGTGGACCGACCATTCAAATTCATTAAGCAGACCTGTATCAGTAAGAGATAAATCTAGACAAGAGTATGTACCTGTACCAGGATGTAAGTATGTTTTCGAATTATCATTGAAGATACACAGATCGTTGTTAGAAATAAAATCTTCCAATATGTTCCCATTTCTGTTCGTATCACCCCAAAGTGGATTATGACCGTTTAAATCACCCATGATGATACATGGCTTGGGGAGCTGATCATAGAGAGTCTGAAGATCAGTCTGCTGAAGAGAAGAAGATGGTGGTACATACAGTGAGCATAATGTGAAAATAATGTTCAGAGTCAGTCTGACAGCAACAGCTTGAAGACATGTATTTAGGGGAACAGGGCTATGTATAACACCCCGTCTAACCAAAACGGAAGAACCCCCAGTAGCTCTAGGCCCTGGAGGAGAAAAGTAGTTATATGAATTATATTGTCTTACATCAAATTGATCTGTATTTTTAAGATAGGTTTCCTGTAAACAAAATGCCGATGGTTTTAAATCTTGAATCAGTAACTGTAAATCATTATAATTGTTCCTTAGTCCTCTACAATTCCACTGAACAATATTATTTGAGCAGTTCATGGAGGCTCAATGAGAGATCGTACATTGGAGTGGGGTTTTCTCCCATGGCTAGGGAGCGAAGAATCGACCTCTATCTCCAAAGGTTCAAACTGATTTTGAACCTTTACTGAAGGTGTCTGAGAGGAAGGCACCTCCAAATGCAGGAGAGTTCTGGTCTTCTTTTTTGATTGCTTTTTCTCTTTTTTCCCATTTTTTGATATGTTTGATTGTGCTGGTGTTGATTCCGGCACAGATTCTGGTTCAGATGAATGATCTATTGAAAGTTGTGATGCTACACGTTCTGTCTGGGAAGCTGAAGAAGATATATTTGACAGAGATGGAGAGATCAGAGCATGATCATCGATAATGATTTTTTCATGAACCCAAGATAGGGATGTTTGACAGGCTGTTGAAGTCAGGGAAGGTCTGGAGGCAGTGGTACGAAAGGACACTGCATCTGAGTACAATATAGTTGAAGCAGTTGAGAGAGGAACAAGCTTTTTCGCTTCCACATAAGAAATATTGTTCGTGTGTTTGATTTTTTTAATTCTCGTTTCACGATCATATAATGGGCAGGATTTGGATGAGGCCAAGTGGTCTCCATCGCAGTTCGCACACTTGATGTTATTTGTGCATTCAGAAGACTCGTGAGCGCCTCCACAACGGGAACAGACCGTGTTGTTACGGCAGAACTTGGCCCCATGACCAAACTTTTGACATTTGAAACATCGGAGTGGAGTTGGTACATATACCTCCACCCCACTAACAATGATCCGTTCCGGAGACGTGTTACGTCCTTCACCTCCCCACAGACACCTTGAGTGCCCTTTGAAATAGCGAATGGGTTCAGTTTCAAAGGATTGTCATCTATAGATGAGATCACAATGAATCTCGGCCAAGATTCAACTATGTCAGGAGATCCTTCATCTGATGATGTAGATACCACATGTCTACGTTTGTGTTTTGATGAACCAGATTGAATGGAAAAAGCCATGGTGTTTCAAAAGTGTTCAACATCCCTGCTCCCCACCCGCCATGGATTGTCAACAAGGACGGTGTTACAGCGGAAGCCAGGCTGTTCCACCAGGGCTACAGGGATTTTATACTCCAGCAAATAAAAACATAGATAGCTGTAGAATCTGAAAGAAAAAATGTCAGGCTGGTTCGCCCATGACATCATTCTGGAGAAACACAGAATTCAGCGGTTTATATTGCCAGATTGGCCCATGAGCCACCGCCTTCTGGCATAGAAATCTAGGCATATTAATCTATTAATAATTTGTACATTATAATTCAAAATAGCCAAGACCAAAATAATAAAGTTTGTGCACAAAGATGAACCATGCACAGGGCTCGGCGTGACCAGCCGATTGGTAGAACCGGGCCCATTCTACCACCCGTCTAGGTGAAGTAAGGGGCGAAGTGGTGTGTTGGGCAAAAGGAACACGGTTCCAGGCTCCCAATGCCCTCAACCACCAGACTCCCGTCCTCCACCGACACAGGGGCGCAACCCACGGCAAACGGGTTGGTGGACCAAATATACCCCCGGGTCCACAACGGGGGGTTGAAGAGCGCTTAGCGTTACCCATCACCCACCACGAGGAGGTGGCTCTTCACGGGTGCCCACGGGCGCAATATGTTGGCTATGAAGTAACAACTTGGTTTTAGAAAATCATCATTGATGAAAACAGCAATTAATGTAAATGACCTTCGTTAAAAAGAAATATAATTTAATGAACGGGGATACTTCTTCTTGGGGTGATATTTTTTCAGAAAGTATGTTTTATTATTGTGTATGGATTTAGAAAATGATTATTCCATTCACAACGTGTTGTGCAAAGACGCCATTTTCGTTTAAGCGTGTTTTTTTCATGATCTGCCCGTGAACGTTGTAGAGGTAAATTTTTGACACGTGTCTGTGTGTTGTCGTATATTCCAGTGACAGAAAGGAGACTGAAAGCTGTTCTCATATTGTCTTAAACTCTAATGTTCATTATATGCGGCGTCTGTACACCTGATACAACTGGAGCCCGTGAAGAACCGGGTTAGAATTGATCACCAGTAACCCATGCTTGTCGTAAGAGGCGACAAACGGGTTCGGGTGGCCAGACTCGCTGACTGAGTTAAAACATGTCATCGTATCCCAACTGCGTAGATCGATGTTCATGCTGTTTTTCCCTGGATTGTCTGGCCCAGATCCGATTTTTTTACAGCCCGCCACCATATAGCTGAAATAATGTTGAGTGCGGCGCACTCAAGCAAACGTACAGCAGGATAAGCAGAGCACTGAATAGAGAGCACTGTGGCCCGAGCTTTAAACTAATGCAAGTCCTTGATACCTAAGATATTAAACATGAAAATTTTAAAAGCTTCTTATTCTTATCACCTACTTTGATTTAATTTTGTGTGTGCGTGTGTGTGTGTGTTTTGATGGCCGGTTATAATCATATACGATCAAAAACCTCAAATGGGAAAACTATTTCAGAAAACGCACTGAACAGGTTTGAAGGTTTTTAGCGTTAAATCAATCACTTACTGTTGTTCCAGACCGGAAAAAAACAAAACTGACTCATCTGCAGTTAAAAACGGAAGTATTTAACCGTAATTCTGGGTTGACAGCATTTCCATCCCCGGCAGTATACATCATAATGATTATGTCGCAGCAATCCCCTATCTATTTTTGGCACTATCAGATGATAGCGACAATTTTACTTATCGATTTAGTCAAAAGGTTCAGTGTTTTTGGCACTATTTCCATTAACTGTCACCCCTAGAAGGGAATGTTTCATCTTCATTTGCAAGAATTACTCCATCTTGAGTCCAGGGAATGTGATGGGAGTACATATTTACCTATAGAGGGTAAACATAAAACAATCCCACTTTCAGCTGGTTTCAAATGTTTACTTTTACAAAATGCACATACATTTTCTTTGCTGCAGTCAATGGTTCTCTGCTTGCACGTAATTCCGGACGTACCCATGGTCTGCGCCTCTTGCTTAATGTCCAGGAAGAGGAGTATACTCGGAGTAATGATGGATACCTTGGAACAGGGTTTATGGCGAGTGCCAATAACAAGTTTCTACATTTTGAATAATGATTTTGTGTAAATGACCCGATAACCCTTAAAGCTAGATCCCATCCACACCCAACATGTCCATCCCTTTATACAATTACCATTATTCCAGGTTGTACATACCCTCACAACTACCGACGCGCATTCGACCATGAAGATACCGAAAACAAAACATCATGACTGTGGAATGTTGCTTAGGATAAGAATATTATATATGAATCTACTTACAAGATTTTTCATAGAGGCAGCTTGAGCCATTATCTGTAAACACATGTGGTATCAAAACAAGGAAACTGATGCTGCAATGTAAAGTTATTGACAAAATATATGCTCTTTCCTGATATCATTCATAACATGTAGTATGCCCATGTGTTTTCTCTTTGTTGTGACCTGAAGGTGGCTGTTCACGCTCCGGAGGTGATCCCAATCATGTCTGAGATGGGAGTGGCAGTGGCTCCCGGATTCCATCACTTTGTAGGTATAGGAGTGAAGGTAAGTAGCATGCTCTGTTAATGACAGTCGAAAATTCAGTTCGTAAATCGCACCTGTCGGGCACTTTTGGTACATTTTCATCTACGTTAAGCAGAAGACAGCTGCAATCGGGTCCAGGATTGAACCTGGCGGGAATGTATTATTGCAAACTCCCTACTTGTTAAAGTCACTGAAAACGATGTATTCATACCTATTTGTGGGATTTTCAGTGGTCAGAATGTGCATTGTTCATACGACCCCAGTTTGGCGTGAGATTGATTAGTTTTGTCGTGAGGGAGTGACATGAGTATTACTGTGAGTCTCAAGCCAAAGGCGTGTGAGAGTTGGCAGGTACAGTCCGTTTGGGACAAAAGCGGACCGATGAATTGCAATCTAACTCGAAAACTAACAAACATATAATACTCTATGAAACGTTGATCATAATGAAAACATCATCTCTGAGTTTTTTCAGAATTAATGTCCTAAAAATACAAAAGTTGTTTAACAAACTATCATTAAAATATTGACACAGTTATTTGTTACGAGGGAGGAGTGCAAAGAGAGGAACAGCCAGGTGTATGAGAAGCACGTGCACAAGTGCCGACAAAGTAATTGATTCATTTACCTGTATTGTACCGTCTCCATTCTTTCTCGCACAAATCTAAATTTAACTCACCAAAGTCTTGATATTTCTGGTAAACAGATGTACTGATTGAAGATTGTTGACAGCTGTTGAATGATCAATGTAGAAGAGTGGTAGGTCTCTTGGGTGGGTGTTAGCAGACAGATGAGCGTAAATCTAAATGAATCCAACGAATGAACGATTACAAGTTATTTTGTGAGCAAAACAGTTTCAGATACACATGCATTAGAATCTTTGACTGGCATACAAAGACTTCTAACATAAAACTGGAGAGTGTATCCAGTCACAATCAACATCCAGTCAGTTATCTCCTTGCTTCAGGATTGCAGATGTCAGCTTATCAGAGAATGTACTTGGTGTGGAGATATTGGCATATAACAATATGAACACAGACTACCGCCGATCTGTGTAACGAGATGTTACTGGGTTAGGATTTGTAGAAATCATTATTCATTACTCTTCCTATCCGATGAATGAAAATATGTGTTTCATTGCCCCTCGCACATTTGTTACCGAAAGTTTAAATTATATTACTATTACATCGCCATATTGGGAAGTCATTAAACATTTTCACAGTTTCATATTTAAGCATAATGAAGTATATTTAACTTTGTCAAATATTTAACTATACAAGGAGATACGTTTGAGCACAAAGAGACAAGGACACAAATCCATTTAAATACACATGACCAGACCAGCAGGCATTCCTAATAGTAAGGACTTCGCCACTATCATAGAGAAACCATTCTATGTAAGTTGTATGATAATTTAAAGACTGATGAATACACTGATAATTCTTCTTTTGTGAAGTAAAAATCACAAGGAATACCCGATATATCAGAACATGAACCTGGTGATGATGTTATTTCTGTATTGTGACAGGAGGTGGCTGCTCACGAGGGCGTAGGTGGCTGTGGCGACAGACTTCTGAAGTATATCACAAGTAACTATTCCCGGGATGCCTGCAAAATGGAGTGTGAGATGGATTTCTTCTTGAGCATGTGCAACTGCAGGGGCTTTGCAAACCCAAGCGAAGATTTTGCATTTTGCACACCCCGACAGTTTCAGGAATGTTATATCCCAGCTAAAGCTAAATATCGTCAGACAGACACTGGCTGTGAAGCTGGATGTCCTGAAGCATGCAGATATATCAGGTTCACCACCCAACACTCCAGCTCCCCACTGACCAGGAACTACATTACTGCGTACACCAAGGCCAAGGGTAAGACTGAAGAGTACTGGAGGAGGAATCTTGTTATTCTGGAGATGTATCTGAGCTCTATGACCTACGAACACATTGAAAAACAGCTGGGGTATGGGATCCTGGACCTGTTCTGTGACATCGGCGGAGCACTGGGTCTGTTGCTTGGTGCCAGCCTGCTGACAGTGTTAGAAGTGTTTGACTTCTTGTGTATCACTGTCTTCTCGGCGGTATTTGAAAAGAACAAAGTTCATGAAATTGACAGAGTAGACAACTCCAAATAAACCATTGGTAATGTAAATGCACAATGACATACGTTGACAGACACAATTGACAACGTCAGTAATGACACCAAATGTTTTGAAAAGGTTAAGCTTGTCCTACCCTACAGGAAGCCCATGCCCTTCACACGGTTGGCCTGTGGAAGTAAGTGCCCTTAGCCAGAAGCAGCGCTCCATTACTCCTGTCATGCGGGTCATTTAGATATTGTTGCATTCCTGTATTTATGAGAAAACGTGCATTTTGAATATTAAATACCTGTAAATATAGTCTATGTCTGTTTATGTTATGATGTTTACAATGTTATTCAATAGGTACAGGTCACCCTTAATTACAACAAACGTAATGCAATATGTTCAAAGGAAAACGCTTCATCATGACATAGAGTTAGCTTAATCACTGATGAGATATTTGGACAACGTTAGGTCGTGTCATCTAACACAGGAAGAAACATATAAGACAGGTAAAGTACAACGAACATTTCTTCATATTTAGGACGCATAATATACCTTTATTATAGCATACAAGGTCTTCTACTGACCACATGTAATAGGGATTATACATCCGGATATTGTGTTACACTTCATCTTTCGCCACTCCGAGCAGAACTTCTGATTCATACGTGTAATGGTTCATATCTGTGATACTCTAGTATTTTTACTGTCCATCGTCGACAGGTTTAACTCTTCACAATGTTTTCATTTTTGTATTGTATAAATTGTTTTCGTCGCGATATGGCTGAGATATTGCCGATGTGACATTAAATATTAACTCACTCACTCACTCATACGTGTAATGAAACGGGTCAGCACAAAGGGGAGCACACATGATCCCCATGATTTCATCTTTGATGAATGTCTGCCCGCCAAATTTCACGTCCATGTTATATACTAAGCAGCAAAAGAAACGTCAGTTTGGAATTTTCCTTGGTAGAAACGGATAACTGTAAACTCATTTAGTGTTTTGATTGTATATTTTTGACATCTCCAACTTTACCTGAGCAAAGACATTCCTTCCCATACTCAGAATGGAACCCAGGAAATGGTCTCAAAAACGCAACCTGATCTCGGAGATGGTACGGTGTTCTCCATGTTTTTCATGCAACTCATGCTGCACGTGCTGTTCACAAGGACCAGCCGTATAAAATGCACCCCCAAACCTGGTTGAAACATTCACATTACAACGTCAGCAGGACGCCGCGACTCACGACAGCTCAGAGGAACCAGGCGCTAGGAAGACTTGAAGCTGCCCACACTGCACAAGCCGTTGCCATTCACTTCCAGGTCAACGTTCGGACCATCTACAGGCTGCAGCAACGTTTCCGGGCCACCAACACCACAAATGATCGCCCCGTACTTGCAGACCAAGGGTGACCACAAGACGACAAGACCGCCATGTTGTGCGACAGCATGTACAGAATCCCTTCATGCAGGCATCCGAAACAGCACACCAGACAGTGGGAACACACGAAAGACCAATCAGTATTGATACAGTACGCCGACGTCTTAACAGCGGGAACCTCCATTGCCGTAGACCTTACCGTGGACCTATCCTCACCCCTCGTCATCGGCGTGAACGTCTACAGTTTGCCCTACAACATCAAAACTGGCGATACAGGCAATGGAGAACTGTTCTGTTCACAGATGAGAGTCGGTACTGCGTATCAACTGCAGATGGCAGAACAAGAATATGGCGACGACGTGGCCAGCGTTACTCAGACCAATGTGTTATGGAAAGAGACTCATGGGGAGGTGTAAGCATCATGGTATGGGGTGGAATAGGCCTGAACCAGAGAGTGGGTCCTGTGGTGTTCCAGAACCTTGGTCCAGGGAGAGGAGGCGGCTCTACATCGACCAAGCTCTCAGACCCAACGTCATACCACATTTCGCACGTCACCGGAACAACATTTTCCAGCCTGATAACGCCCGGGCCCATACTGCCAGAGCTACACGGGACTTCTTACAGCAGAACGGTGTCAACAGTATGCAGTGGCCAGCCCTTAGTCCTGATTTAAACCCAATTGAACATCTTTGGGGTGAAATTCAGAGGAGACTGAATAATGTCATACCAAGGCCGAAGACAGCCGATTTATCGCGCCAGGCCTTTCTTAGAGTATGGTTCAAGGTGCCAATGGCCTTCATCAATCGATTGGTGCACTCCATGCATAGACGTTGTGCTGCAGTTATTGCCGCTCGTGTTGGTCACACTAGATACTGAAGTCAAGGGTCTGAATGGACTGCAAACGTTCACGTAATGTCTTGAAATTGTGCTGAGTTATTCATTGATGTGTCAAGATATTGTACACAAAATGTTTTTGATCCGCTTATTATGTCCATTTCTGCAATGATTTGATTACAGTGCCTATCTAATTTTGAATTCGTACTGACGGTTTTTTGCTGCTGAGTATATTAATAAGGGAGTCCAACATTTCCGATATTTCTTTTTCAGTAAATGTCATATGGCATTTGCTTTGATTTTTGACAAATTGTCCTGAAATTATGAAGTTATAATTGTAACTATATCTACAGTTTCCACCTTCAGCACCACATGTAAATTAATCTTTTACTTATGTCTGCCATATGAGATAGTGGTGTACAATGTTGCAATATCAAATTATTTGACAGAGGGGGACTTGGTTGTTTTATAAGATGGCAAAAATTCAAATAAGACCTATTATGAGAACCCACGCGGTATAAATTCGTCTTGTCTCCCTAGTGGTTAAAGCGTTCGCTTGTCACGCGAAAGACCCGGGTTCGATTCCCCACATATGTGAAGCCAACTTCTGGTATCTTCTACCGTGATATTGCTGGAATGTTGCTAAAAGCGACGTAAAACCATACTCACTCTATCCTTCTAACTTTTAAACAAATAAACAGGATTTATTTATTTAAGTACATTGGGATCCGGACCACCACCATATCAACAAAGCCGTATTTTGTTGTCACAGGTTATTGTGAGTTGACGTGTTTTCTGCAGAACTTGCAACTTTGTTTCCACGCTAATGTTACCAGACAACAGCGAATGCAAACTATGACATACAATGAATGATCTGCTGTGTTGGACGAGTTGGTTGCACTGCATAGTAGCGGTGGGTGAGCTGGCTAAGGCGCCAGGCTAGTGATCCAGCGAGGTTGAGGTGCCGGGATCGAGCCCACCTGTGACCGGGTGTAAAAACCTTGGAGTCAACTCTGTGTGCAGACTCTTTCAGTGTTGTCACAACCCCTAGTGTACAGTACACAACCCTGTGCACTTAAAAGAACCCACGAATCCGTTGGTATATGACCAGATGGTGGCCACATCAATACGTGAAAACACCTAGTTGCGGGTACAGCAACGTGCAGTAAACTTGGACAAAGTACTGTGACTATGTATCCCAGTCCACCCAACTGTGAATGGGTACCTCGTTAGGATGGGAAAGCCACAATAACGCGGTGCGCCTAGTGGCAGCAAGAGTTGTATACTCCCCAGGGAGTTGAGATTGATAATACGATGTGCCGTTGAGATTGACATCCAATAATGGAGGGAAAAATACCAGCGCCTTGAGCATGCACCAGTTGCGTGGATATGTGCGCTATATAATTATACTATAATAATAGTAGCTGTGTGATGTACACCGGAGGCCTTGGGCGGACAACATGGCGGAGGAAGAGCAACAGAATAGAACATGACTGAAGGATGTTCTAAATCCCCTTCACATGTACATGTGATCATGAAAGTATTCAAGGCTTGTTCATGCCTGTGTCCAGACATAGAGCACCATCGCCCACAGTGTACATACTGTGACGCAAAAAACCCTTTAAATGAGAGATAGCTGACATCTGATTACAATATTTCTTCCCAGGTGATAACATTCAATTAGACTATTTCACCGACGCATAATCGATATCGACACGCCACCTTGCGTGGCAGTGATAAACGAAAAACATTGCAAAAGATACGTTGGCTTACGACAGACAATAGAAGCAGCGACGCGTCGTCAGGACATTGTGGCGTAAATGAACAGGTGCACTCTTTTATTGGATAAAGAGCAGATAGCATCGTTAAAGGATACCGCCTATGAAAAGAAAAATGATGATTGTGTTAGATTACTACATGCCCTGTAGTATGGTCGTGCAATAAACTATAGAGAATTATTTGAGTGAGAAGTATGTATCTGTGAGTAGAATTATAGAATGACCGTGTTCACTTTCATTCATAAACCCTCACCTCAAGATATTTACAGCAATATTGATACACGTATGAGTACACTAACGGGGGCCGACTTTAAGGATGGCGTGTTCAGTGGCTTGAGTACACAGGATTTTACGAATGGACTTTCATTGATTCAGGAATCGTATATGTATACATATGACATGTAAGTTAATTATAAGTATTGCTATTTTGTTCCATGGTTTTCAATGCAAAGAAAGGATCAAGTTAGAAATTCCGATAAGTACTGTTGTAGCTCTGTGAGTTTACGACTTTCATGGCGTCATGCTGGACGGAAAATGTGACAACATTTCTTGAATTAACGACTCTTTAAAATAAAAGGATGTTTAATTCTTGATTTCTTTTGCTATGACACTCCTCCTATACATCTGATAAAAATAATGTGTTTTTGTATGCAAGGATCGAGTAGACGAATGGATCTGTCATAATTGGAGAAATAATGTAACATCTGAATTTGTTTTTGCATACATTTGTTCGTTTATTGGGCAAAGCGGTCATTATTACACGAAATAAAGTACTCTTTATTTCGATCTTTGGTATTGGTGACAAAAAACATTTGATGTTTAATTGTAAAATGTATGCGGAATTCAGGGATGCTCTCTGAAACCTGAGTTTGAAAAAGTCGTGACGTGACGCGTCTCATATGTGATGATTGCCAGACACTTTAATGTGCATCCATCCACTGTAAGTCGACTCAGACAACGTTTTCGGGCTACCAGAAGTGTTGCTGATGGTCCGCGACCTGGTGCACCACCTGTGATAACAGCTTGACAAAACCGCAATATCCGAGTTTCAC